ACCCAGGGCTGTTGCACTGCAGTTTTATTATTACTCAGCTTGTTAAACTGGATAATTAAAATATAGTATTTTAGGAGCTAGGGTTACCTACTTGCAACTGGAATACTTTGAAATGAGCCCCTGCATATTCACACTCATCAAGGCATTATGTGCTTTATGACCTGACAGGTGTTCTGCAGAGCAGTATCCTTTGGGGTTACTCACCTAACTTTTCCTTCCATCCCTGGAGGGTTGTGAAAGTGCCAAAGTGAAGAGGCCCAAACTGCCCTTAAAGTCTTTCCTCTAATATGAGAAGATGGAAAGACGAGGCAGTGGCTCATCTTGGAGCACACAGTTATGTTTAAGTAACATGAAGTAACTTCATCAAATGACCAACTGAGGGTACAGTTCTGAGTAGAGGTCTTCGGTGTGGGACTCCAGTCAGAGGCACATACAGAGAGGCAGATCAATACATGAAAGAGAATGGATTGTCACTGTGCTTGCTACTTGAAGTTTTGACTCAACTATGGGAGAGAAAGAGAATCTAACAAACACTTCTGGAAACCAGAATGAGCTCTGTCCCTGCATACCAGAGCTGAGTATAATGTCTCTCAGGGTGTTGACACAGCCTAGTACTGCCAGTCACCATATTGTCCCATATCAACTAGCCCAATTGCCTATTCTGGAAAGCCTTATTTGTATTAAGGCTGCGATACAAACCTCACACATGCCAGTTTATTTAAGCAATGGATGACACAATACCAGGGGTGGGAAATAATTTTTGGCCTGGGTTCAACCCAGAAGGGAAGGGGGCAGAATGCTTCTGGGCTTCCCCACCCAGGGAGCCCTGTTGCCCCTCATTTCCGCTAGGTGCCTATGCCCCAGCAGGGCAGGAAGAGGCTTCACACACTCTGACACCTCAGGCCCTAATTGGATTGGGAATGGGGGGAGCATGTGAAGCCTCCTCCTGCCCAACCCCCACCCTGCAAGGAGCACGTGGTGGGAGGAGACATTATGTGCTTCCTCGCTCCCAAGTCCTGATTGGCCTGGGGGAAGGGGAGCTGCGCAAGCTTTCCTCGTCCGCCTCCTGCCCTGTGTGAGTATAGGGCACTTTGAAGTACTGTGAACTCCTTGCAGGGTGAGTGGGGGTGGGGAGTGTGGAGGACGCTTTGCACACTCCTCCTGCCCCCACGCCTATCAGGACTTGGGGGTGGGAGAGAACGTGATGTCTCCTCCCCCCTGCAAGCAGTATGCGGTGCTTCGAAGTGCTGCATGCTGCTCACAGGGCGGGAGGAAGCTTTCCCCTGACCCCAGGCTCTAATTGGCCTGGGAGTGGCAGGGTCTCTGCAGGCCTGATCAACCCACTTGGCAGGCCAGATTTGGCCCACGAGGGTCATAGCTGGAGCTACAGACTTCTTAGCTAGTTATTTTGATGCAGGCATCTGAATCCCCTCCAAGAAGAGAGGAACTGAAGCTGGGTTATTGAGGCCTTGTTGATGCAGAATGCTGCTATTGACTGACATAAGTGCCTTGATCCTACTAGTGGGAATATGCAGAGGCCACTGAAAGAATAACTGCTAAAGTGAAGTTTTTGCATTTAATACACGTTGGCCACTCTCAGAAGACTGGGCTAGTTGGTTCTGACCATAGCTCTGAGCAGTATGTCTGTTCTTATGTTTAACTGTGTATGTCATCGCAAGAAGTGTAAACACAGCAATAGAGACAATTTAAAAAATTCTGTTAGTTTCACAAATATGTTCAAAATATATCAAATCAATCAATAATATTTAAGGTCCTTACTCTTACCAAAATTTTTCCACTTACATGTATACCACAGGATGAAGAAAATGATGATGAAAATGATGATAACAAATGTCAAAGACGCTATGGATATCGAATCTGTGGCAAAAAATTAACAAAGAATTATCACAAATTCCAATAATTATACTATATTATTAGAACTAAATTTTCATTTCAGCTATTTAAAATAATTGTTCTATGATCTCACATTAGTGATACAAAACAGAAAAACAACATGGATAGATTTGGAGGGTTGGGGGTGGAGAGAAGGGAAATAATTCATAGTGAACAGCAAGCATTAGTCTTGAATCACACTAGACCAGAAGATATAAAATAATCTTATAGAGCAGTACAAATATTTTAATGAAGAAACTATTTCATTTAAGGTCTCAATCCCACAAACATTTATGCATGTGCTGAACGTTATTTGGTATGGAGAAGTATAAACTATTTAGATGGAACAGCTGGGAGAGAAAAGGAGGAGGAGTTGCACTGTATGTAAGAGCACATCTAGACTGCGGGGGTTTTCTAGGATACCAGAGGTATCCCAGAAAAACTCCGCCGGGTCCAAGGAATATGTTTACTCTTCTGCTTTTTTTTGTAGAAGAGCAAACATGCTCTTTTGTGGGAGGACTGTATACCTCGTTCTACAAGGAATAAGTGCTCCTCTGAAACCACTGCCCTTTGGTCCTCTCTAAGCAATCTGAAAAAAATATTGGAAAAAGCTACACAAATTGCAAAGCACAATTTGTGTAACTTTTTCTGAAAAAAAGCTATAGTGTAGTGTAGAGAGTAGTATGATGGCTTAGCGATCCAGAAGGAAATGGGAGAAAAACCTGTTGAGTCATTGGTTTAAATTTAGAGGTGAGAGCAACAAGGGGTGAAAGTGCAGTATCATGTTGGACAATTGCCATAAACCACCAGACTAGTAGGATGAGGTAGATGAGGCTTTCTTTAGACAACTATCAGAAGTTCCCAGAACACAGGGCCTGGTTCTCACGGGGACGTAAATCACCCTGACATCTGCTGGAAGAGCAATACAGCAGAGCACAGTCAATCCAGGAAGGTTTTGGGAAGTGCTGGGGACAACTTCCTGGTGCTGATGGAACCAACTAGGGACTGTGCTCCTCTTGACCTGCTGCTCACAAACAGGGAAGACTTGGTAGGGGAAGCAGATGTGGGTGGCAACCTGGGCAGCAGTGACCATGAGATAGTTGAATTCAGGATCCTGACAAAAGAAATAAAGGAGAGCAGCAGAATATAGACCTGGGCCTTCAGAAAAAGCAAAGTTGGCAGGGTAATTTGAGAGGGTAAGGAGTGTGGGAGAGCTGGCTGTATTTTAAAAATTAGCCTTCTTGATAGTTCAGGAACAAGGAATCCCAATATGCAGAAAAAACAGCAAATATGGGAAGTGACCAGTTTGGCTTAACAAAAGTCTTCGGTGAGTTTTAACATGTAAAGGAAGCTTGTGGTAGAAGTGGAAACGTAGATGACTAAACAAGGGTATAAAAATATTGCACAAGTGTAACTACTACCAGGTGGATTTGAATCTGGGACCACTGAAGCTGAGTACAGGAGCCTTTACCCTCTGAGATAACAGCCAACTGACTACTAGCCCATTCTGTAGAGGACTCTTGGTCTTAGCTCCTGCTGTGGTCTAAGTGCCACTGCACTGGTCAGTGAACCATACTAGAGCTGTGTCTAGACTGGCATGATTTTGTAGAAATACTTTTAACAGAAAAGTTTTTCCATTAAAAGTATTTCCACAAAAGAGCGTCTAGATTGGCACGGATGCTTTTGCGCAAAAAGTGCTTTTGCGCAAAAGTATCCATGGCCAGTATAGACGCAATTTTGTGCAAGAAAGCTCTGGTGGCCATTTTCACTATTGGGGCTTTTTTGCGCAAAACAGTCCTTCCCTGTCTACACTGGCCCTCTTGCACAAGTATTCTTGTGCAAGAGGGCTTTTTCCTGAGCGGGAGCGTGAAAGTATTTGCGCAAGAAGCACTGATTTTGTACATTACAAAGTCAGTGCTCTTGCGCAAATTCAAGCAGCCAGTGTAGACAGCTGGCAAGTTTTTGCGCAAAAGCAAGTGCTTTTGCACAAAACTTTGCCAGTCTAGACGTAGCCTAGATGTGTGGGTTACACAAGCATACAGAGTTGTAATTAGTAAGGCCAAAGCATGATTAGAGTTGCGGCTAGCATGGGACATGAAGAGTTACAAGAAGGGTTTCTACATGTATGTCAGTAAGAAGAAGGTCAGGGAGAGTGTGGAACCCTGACTGAATAGGGGAGGCAACCTAGATGCTGCAGGAAAAGTTTTTCCTATTCAATGTTTTTCTTGCCTCAGTCTTTATAGACAAAGTCTGATCCAGAACTGTTCTCTGGGGGGAGAAGTTGAGCAGTCCTTGGGTGAAAACAGGTTTAAGGACTAATTAGAAAAGTTGGACATGCACAAGTACATGAGGGTAGATCTAATGCACCCAAGGATGCTGAGAGAATTGGCTGATATGATTGCAGAGACATTGGCCATTATGTTTGAAAATTCATGGTGTTTGATGGAAGGTTCCAGATAATTGGAAAAGCCAATTATAGTGCCCATCTCTAAAAAGAGAAGGCAATCCAGGGAACTACAGACCAGTCAGTCTCACCTCAGTCCCTGGAAAAATAATGAAGCTGGTACTCATGGAATCTATATTGAAGCACTTGGAAGAGAGAAAGGTGATCAGGAACTGTCAACATGGATTCACCAAGGGTAAGTCATATCTGATGCAATTGATTGTTTTCTATGATGACAAAACTGGCTCTATGGATATGGTAAATGTGATGTATTTTAACATTAGCAAAGCTTTTGATATAATCTCGCATAGTATTCTTGCCAGAAAGTTAAGGAAGTGTGGTTTGAATGAATAGTCTATAAGATGGAGGGGAAGTGACTGTCTAGGAGGGTATGTCTACACTACCCTCCTAGTTCGAACTAGAAGGGTAATGTAGGCATACCGCACTTGCAAATGAAGCCCGGGATTTGAATTTCCCGGGCTTCATTTGCATAAGCGGGGAGCCGTCATTTTTAAATCCCCGCTGCTTCGAACCCCGTGTAGCGTGGCTACACGGGGCTCGAACTAGGTAGTTCGGACTAGGATTCCTATTCCGAACTACCGGTACACCTCGTTCCACGTTCTCTTGCCCAAAGCAGGAGAATCCCAACTAAAGCATGCTAGCCAGCCCTTTGTCTAGGTAGATTTTAAAAATCTCTACGGATGGAGACTCCTCCACCTCCCTTGGCAACCCATTCTAGCTCAACAATAAGAAATCTGATCAGAGTGAAACAGAAAGACATTTAGATTTGCCTAACATTGTAGTGGTTGTTATGCAGCATGACTAGAGTGTATGAATTTACCTGAATTCTAATAGGAAATGTATTAATTATATTTCCATACAGAATCCCTGAAATTATATTTCTGGTATAAAACGTATTTTTTTACAGATTATAGGGTCACTTACAAAAACTATTGGAATGTCCATCTGTAGGATTTGGAACAGGAGCTGGAAAACAAATGGTTAAGAAATGGCAGGAAACATAGATTAAATGCATAGTTTTTCGTTAATGTAATACAGTTGATGAAGATGATGAGTTTCCCATGGATTTGATAAATGAATGAAATTACAGTTGATATTCTACATCACAATAGATTATATCTCTACAGAGAATATGGATTCACAATAAAATATTCAAATCAATACCTAGTATTCCCACAAGTGCTATATCATTGGAATTAATAGAGTTTAGAAAGAAATCAACTGAACACAGAGAGCTGCAGCAGTGACAGGTTTGTCCATTTTATTTCATACCACTGAACTAGCTAGAATTGGCCAAACCAGGCTCAGCTAACCCTTAATGACCTAACTCAGTTAATATAACAACAAGATCTATATCTACAACACCCTAATACATAACATATTCCTCCCCGCTTAATAAGAACATCCCTTTAATAAAACAAACACTAAGATAGGGAAATTAGGGTAGACTGCTTCAGTTCCCACTAACACTAGGGATTATTCTGACCTATAGCTATGGATTAACCTTCACTAAATATCCAGTCATTGAGGAAGCCTACTTTCTCTAGGTGGATTACAGTGGATGTCTGGTGTTCTTGCACACAAAGATATTATGGGTGTGGACTCAATGAGCTCAGGCCTTGAAGAATGAACAGGTGAGAATATTCTTATCAGCTCACTCAGGGAGGGCTTTTGTGTTTGCCACAGGCAGTGATCAAGGACAAGAGTCAGGAACAGGTGACTTGACTCAATAGCTCATCAGTAGTGGTGAGATCAGGATAATCAACTGGAGTTCTGGAGGCAGATAAATCCTGGCAACAACTGATCTACATGTAAATGCCAGTTGCGATCCTCTGTAGTAGGGAGAGTGTAGGACGAGGACAATGGCAGGGATTCATAGAGCTCGAAACTAGTTCTAAGCCAAAATAGGGACTAACAGTTCAGTTGGCAAGAATTCTCATGATCACTATTAAATATCAATATCTCTGTGACCTGCAGTCCAAGACTCCTGATATGGCATCAAGCTATTAAAAAAGCAATGATCTTTTTATGCAACAAATTGTGTTTCAGTTTTAATGAGCTATCCCATTAATATGCACATTATCTTTCACACAGTAACCTGTTTTCTGGAGAATTTCATGAAGAATAGGAAACTCCATTTAAAAATGTCATCTTATATAATCAATACCAATTAGATCTAGAAAATATTCATATATGCTATTGACAAGTCACGCACAGGGCACCGTAAAAGGCATGAGAGAGCAGAAAATTTAACCACAAATGATTTTACCTTCCACACTACAAGATTCCTGCATGTTGATCAGAATGCACAAAAGAAAAGAGAAACACAAACTTACTCATATTCTTCTCTAGGTCGCCTGAAAAGAAAACAAATATATAACGTTAGTGTCAGAAACATTCATCATTAAAGGGACAGACAGGAAGGTAGCTAATAGGGAAAAATTATTAGATTCCATTGAGTTAAATTGCCCTGTGTGTGCAAGAAATAAGAGCAGGAAGGAGGAACAATGTATATCATTTCCTCTTCCCTAGAGCAGAGAATTTTAACAATCAATGATTTCACCCTCCACTCAATAGATTACTGAGGATTGACCTGAATATTCCAAAAGAAATATGAGATACAGAGTTACCTGATTTATTTTCTAGCTTCTCTGAAAAAGAAATATTCACTTTAAATTATAGAAATTTCCATCATTGAAGACAGGAAGAGTATGTCTAGACTGCATCCCTCTATCGGCAGAGGGATGCAGACTAGGCAGGGCAACATTGCAAATGAAGCAGGGAATTAAATATCCCGTGCTTCATGTGCATAAAAATAGCAAACTCTTTTTCCTGACTCAGCATTTTGTCAACAAAAAGGGGAAGTCTAGAGTGGGATCTATCAAGAAAGAAAGCCTTTTTCGACATATCCCTTATGCCTCCTGCAAGGGAGTTTACAGGATCTGTCGAAAAAGGCTTTCTTTCTTGACAGATCCCCCTCTAGACTGCCAGTTTTTGCCGACAAACTGCTGAGTTGGCAAAAAGCGTTGGCCATTTTATGCAAATGAAGCACGGGATATTTAAATCCTTGCTTCATTTACTTGAAGGTGGCTAACAGGTAAAAGCTATTAGATTCCACTGAGCTGTGTTGCCCCGTGTGTGCAATCAGAGGAGAGGCAGGGGTGTATATTTAAGTTTTCACAAAAGGGACCCACTTTCCATTGTTTAATCACAAAAAGACACTACGGAAATCAGTAGAGGTGACAACTGGGTTATTTGGAACAGAGTCTTGAAATATTAGTGTTAACTATGGAAATTGAGAGGAAATTCATAAGAAAATCAGTGTTCTGAAAATGTCTTATAAATTTTGTTAAAACTCCTCAATCCATTAAACAAGATTATACCCTTCAGATTAATCAAAGAGTTTCATGTCTTTATAGTCAGGATTTCTTTCCACAAGTGTCACAGTCTGCAGCATAAGGAAATAAGCACAATCATTTTAACATAATCATTCTCAAAAGCAGAACAAATAATAACATATGTCACAATCCTAATTCCTGGAGAACTCAGGACTCAAAGAAGAAAAGGTTTAGGGGTCTTAGCTTTCTAATTTGTGAGATTGACAACTGGACAGAAAATACTCTAGCATTTAATGTTTGTTTGTTTCTCCAATACCTATCTTTTTTCTCACCCTTCATTTTCTCTCCCAGGAAGAAGCTGAGCTAGTTTGCAGAAGGTAATACAAAATGAAGCCCAACCATTTTATGTAACCCCCTCCTTAAGTGGGGATATATTCATTAAGAGTTGTGTTGTGTGCCTCTCTTATGCAAACCTTGCTCTGATGACAGCCTCCCTGAGTTAAACCAGAGATGGAAGATAGCACTTATCTGTTTGCTCCAGACTTACCAGTTATGTTTTCCTTTTTAAATGTATTTCAAATATCACTAGGGCCCAATCACAAAATATGGATCACAGTCTCAAAGCCTGAAAACTTCAAGTAGTGATAGGAAGGAGGAGATTCAGATCTGAGATCTGTGTGGTCAATTACAGAGAAAGGGGACAGAAAATGAATTCAGATCCAGCTTCATGTGCTAAACTTTATAGCTGTGCTATCCAGTGTCCAGTGTTACTAAATGAGGGACTTTGGATGGAGCTGTGGCCAACCACCCATGAGTTGGATAGTTAAAGGCAACTGCTTCAGAAACCATTTCTTAAAACAATAGAAACTTATCATTTATCACACAGCCTGTAACCCAGTAACAGTAGGTTGAAAAGAATTGGTGTGTGAGAAACTTTGATATCATCTTGATATTATGGGTTCAAGCAATTTATGTAAATTTAAATAGTAGAAGAGCAGGCAGATAATGCTTTTATGAATGACTGATTACCATCTTGTCACAGAAAAAGTATTTTTTATTGCATTTTAAAAAAAATATCATCAGCATTTGATAGGAAACCAAGGGCTTCTCATGTTGTATCAGACAAAGGGTCCACCCTGTAGCCAGCACCAGACACATTAAGAAAAGCCATCTAAATAAGGTATGGCTACTTTGAGTAATTGTTAATGCCATTTGGGAAATGTGATGCTCTGGCAAATTTCCATAATTTCAAATATGACAACTTAAGAGATATGCTAGAATAGTTTGTCACCATGTATCTAGATGTCATCCTCATATACACAGAAAGTGCATATCATCATGCATACAGTCTTGGGGCAACTCAAAAATATATATTTAGTAAGGACACCATGGAATTTTTGAGATTTATTATCTCATGTGGGGAACTCACCACAGATCCATAGAAGGTTTCCAACTAGGCCACACCTAAAGACTTATGAAGGGTGCAGTAAATCTTGGGCCTCACTGAATGTAATTTATTTAATGATTCTCTAAGTTAGTTGCATCCATTATAGACCTTCTGACATGATTCACATGCTCTACAGAGGTGTAGACAGTTTTTGAGTGAACAGAGCATTAAAGTTGCACCTTTCCAGGAAACTATTTCACTATTTTGATTCCTGGGAAGGAGAAAGGGACATGACTCATGATCGTGTGTCTGGATACATTTTTCAAAAACTTTTTACTTCAAAACAAATGAATTTATGTCTCTCTTCTGGATGAGAGAAATAGTGGTCAATGGTAATTTAGGGCTGGTTTACAATAGAACAGAAGGTCGACATAACGTGCATAACTCCAGGTACATGAATTACATAGCTGGAGTTGAGGTATTTTAAATTGTTCTCCACACAGCAGAAGGTCAATGGGAGCAAAAGCTCCCATTGGCTTCCCTTACTTCTCATGAGGAGCAGGAGTCCCAGCATTAATGGGGTTCCTTTCTCAGTTCAAATTAGTGGGTCCAAATTGAACCCCAGAAGATTGATCATGGCAGCATCGATCTTCCATGTGGTGTAGACATGGTCTGACTCTTTTCATCAGGACTTCAGCCTGAAAAATAACAATATATATTATACGTGTAACTAAGAAGAACTGAGACCACTGACAACGGAAAGGGAAGTGTGCTCTACAGCCTTATCTATGCCTTAGCCTTCTGCTGAAGACCAGATTATATCAGCTTTACAAGTGGAGTCTTGTCCAGTATGAATACAGAAGAAGCATTATCTAGCTACTGCTTCAGTAGTCTAGCACCTGATTAGCATGAGCTAATACTTAATACTTTAAATACTGTCCAGGGCAAGAATGGACAGAAGAGCTTAAGTCAATACTGCTAGGTCCAAAGTAGACCTGAGTCAGGTATCTGTATAGGATCCAGCTCCACGGAACATGTTGGAAGAAATTCTGAAGCAGAATACAGATGTATTCCCTAAAAATGATCTAGACTTGGGCTGTCCTTCCACAGTCAAGCATGAAATAGCCCTGACTGATATGATTTCTGTGTGGCAGAGGACACCTACAGCAAAACACCAGAAAGTCCACAATCACATGCAGGAGATGGTGGAGGCAGGAGAAATCAAACCGAGTTAAAGTTCTAATGCTTCACCAATAGTTGTAGCAAGGAAGAGATGGATGCCCTAGGATGAGCCAGATATTACTCCATACTAGCTCTATTTATATGAGAAACCTAATAGTAAAGTTTGATTAGCTAAATATATTACTGAAGAACTTCATATATTAGAAAAATATCCAAAAACCTAGTTCTGATTCTTTTCCGAGTTATAGGAGTATACAGAGGAATTTATAGAGAATAAATTCAGTGACTTCCAGAAAGTTATCTGTATACCATTTCTGAAATAAAACTGGGCTTTTATTTTATTTACTCAAGTCCTGTTTGGATGGATGGAGTGGCTACCAGGGCTCCTGTGATTTTTCCTCCTTTTTTTTTCGAAAGAACTCTATGTTCCCCGTCCACATATGTCTTTTTTCTGAAAGAGCTCTTCCAAAAAAAGGCTTCTTCCTCGTAAAATGAAGACACACTGCCAAAGCACATCGAAAAAGCGATCTGCTCTTTTTATTTTCTTTCCGAAGAACGCGATTGCAGTGTGGACATAATTTAAGTTTTTTTCAGAAAAAACTCTGTAGTGTGGACATACCCCAGAGTGAGGTGTCATTAGAAGAGGTTTTGGAACAAATTGATAAACTTAACAGTAACAAGCCACGGGGACCAAATGGCGTTCACCCAAGAGTTACAAAAGAAATCAAATGTGAAACTGTGGAACTGTTAACCATAGTTTATAACCTATCCCTTAAATTGTCTTTTCTACCTAATGACTGGAAAATAGCTAATGTGATGTCAATATTTGAAAAGGGCTGTAGATGTGATCCTGGCAATTACAAACCGGTAAGTCCAACATTATTACTGGGAAAATTAGTTGAAACTATAGTAAAGAATAAAATTGTCAGACACATGGATGAACATAATGTGTTAGGGAAAAGTCAACATAGTTCCTGTACAGGGAAATCATACCTTACTAATCTACTAGAGTTCTTTGAGGGTGTTAACAAGCATGTGGACAAGGGGGACCCAGTGGATATGATATACTTAGATTCCCAGAAAGCCTTTGACAAGGTCTCTCACCAAAGGCTCTTAAGTGAAGTAAGTTGTCATGGGATAAGAGGGAAGGTCCTTTCATGGACTGATAATTGGTTAAAAAACAGGAAACAAACAGTAATAATAAATGTTAAGTTTCCCAAGTAGAGGGAGGTAACTTGTGGGGTCCCCCAAGGATCTGTCCTGGGACCAATCCTATTTAACTTATTTCTAAATTATCTGTAGAAAGGGGTAAACAGTGAGGTGACAAAATTTGCAGATGATACCAAACTGCTTTATAAAATGCACATTGGAAAATTTTTGCTAGAGCAGTGATTAAAATCTGGACCCTTCAGCAGCCAGGGGAGAGCCCTGACCAGGGAGATCAATGTTGTAAGAAAAAAACAGACTATATTGTCTGTACCACCCGCCACATTCTCCCTCTGGTTTGTCAGTCACCAAATTATTAGTCAAGTTGGCAAATAGCTTTGGGCCACCTGAAACAATTATTTTCCTTATATAAACTATTTGGCTGAAATAATTCACCCCACATCAGCTGCACTTGTATACAGGAAGACAATGAAGCTGGTAATAAATTGCCAAACACCAAAGCCACTGTGAGAGGAGCCACCAGCTGGGATGGTGATTGCACAACCATGCACAGGCAACACACACACATAAATCCAGAGATTCTAAGTCCAGAAGGGACCACTGTGATCATCCAGTCAGATGTGTATCACACAGGTCTAAAGCAGTCTTTTAGAAAAAATAGAAGCCTCCAATTTTAAATCTAGACTACAAAGAAATGTCAGAAAAAGATGTGCAATTGATTTTTCCGCTTTTCTTTCTAAAGAGGCATTTCCGAAAGTTGGCGTGTCTACATGGTGCCAGATTTCAGAAAAATCCGCTCTTCTGAGCCATCCCTTCTTCCTCATAAAATGAGGTTTAGAGGGATGGCAAAAGAATGCATTTACTTTTTTGTAAGTTTTTCAAAAAAAAAAAATGTGACAAAACATTGCTTTCTGGGATACCTCCAGCGTCCCAGAAAAGCGCTACGGTCTAATTGTAACCTAAATATAGAAATTGTCCGTGACAGACAATTCATCATGTGAGCTACCTTAGATACAGAGGTCATATTCTGCCATCCTTTCTCACAATGACTAACCCTGTTACTTGTACCTCTGACTTCAAGCGGGGCTATCATTGGAATTAGGTGCTGCCTAATATCAGTAAGAGTCTCAGTTTGTGTAACAAAAGGTGCCCACTGGACTTTGTCCTTATACATTTTACATGGATCTACCTTATTTGGGGGCTTCAGTGCTGTGAACCCACATGTATCGATTATGGCACCCTTAGGGTATGTCTATACTACCGCCCTAGTTCGAACTAGGGGGGGTAATGCAGTCATACGGAGTTGCAAATGAAGCCCGGGATTTGAATTTCCCGGGCTTCATTTGCATGAAGCTGGCCGGCGCCATTTTTAAATGCTGGCTAGTTCGGACTGCGTGCCTCGCGGCTACACACGGCACGAACTAGCTAGTTTGGATTAGGCTTCCTATCCGAACTAGCTGTACGCCTCGTGGAATGAGGAGCTAGTTTGGATTAGGAAACCTAACCCAAACTAGCTAGTTCGTGCCACGTATTGCCGCGCGGGAT